CCCCCCAAATTTCACCTCCCCCCCTGTGGTACATTATGAATGCAGCCTATAGAGAAATCATACATTCATAAAAGTTGTCATTGATATTATTACTTTAATATCTTTGAGGCATAATTAAGGCTATAAAGGCTGTAAAAAGCACTCTACCAAACCTCATTATTTGGTTTAATGCCAAAATGCCAATAACAGTAGTAAAAAGTCAGTCAATCAAGTAGAATTATGCTCTCCCTTCTTGAAAAGCCCAGATCCAATATTTTTGACAAGGTCATTATCCTGCAGCAGACAATAGCTCAATTCAGCGTTAGTTAGCTTTCAAATCATGTTAATTATGAAAAAAGTATCAGTCATACACTAACAACTTTATTGCGATTCAGTTGGTTAACTTTGACCATCGCCGATAGTTTTGGCAGTCGGAAAAACCCTCCTGTATCTGAGACTCATCAGAGAAAAAACCTTGATTTAGAGATACTAATAGACTATACAAATCTTTTATACTGATGAAATTTTTTATTCACTAAAGCTACGCCAAAACTTCGATACAAGTCACATAAAAACTCAAAATCATAAAGAACTTCGATATCGCGATGCAATGATTTTTGTTTTAAGAATTTTGGTAATCATATGCATCAATCGCGACAGTACGCTTTGTTCACAGTCACATGTATGGGTTTCTCTTTCATCGATTTGTATGAAAATTATGCGTATAGCGATATCAGAAACCATGTAAAATTTAGTTGTATTTTTTTATCAAAACAATTTCTTGAGAAGGAAGCAGCCAATAAGAGCTGGCGCGAAGCAAAGAGTTTGGATTTAAATTTTAGTCTTAGAAGTCAGCTATATAAGTACGGTCTTAATAGGTCTTGTTTTTGCCAACAATTGTTTGGGTTTTTTTCCTCATCCTGGTAGATGTGTCTTTGGAGTAAGTACCCAAAACCACGTAACTCTCGATGCAGAAAATATATTTGAAACAAGAAGCTCGACACAGGTTAGTTGGCCATGATAGCCGTAGATTTACCTCGAGTTAAAGGTAGGGTAATACGAGCAACAAAAACGTCCAACTCGCAACATTGATGCAAAACGAGTTGGAAAGCGATGTTGCTCGTTTTTCTACGCGCGTACCAACTTGTCTCGCGTCAAAATGGCTTGTTGCAAGTTGAAAAAGTTTGTTGCAGAAAGTAGAAGATGGTTCTACTTTTTGCAACAAAACCTGTAGATGTTGCTCGTATTACCACAGCAACCCAACTTGTCTCGCAGCAAAATGACGTTTAGCGCGCGCAAGCCAACATCAGGTGATGTTTTTAGCCAATAAGAAATCTAAACTAATTCAACTTGCAACAAATTGTTTTGCTGCGAGACAAGTTGGTTCGCTGGTAGTAAAACGCGCAGCATCGCTTTTAAACTTGTTTTTCAGCAATGTTGCGAGACAAGTTGGACGTTTTTGTTGCTCGTATTACCGTACCTT